ATGCTCTCTCTGTCGTTCCTTACCCCTCTTTCCTTGTCTCTCTTCTCTTCCCCTCCTCCCCTTGTCCTGTTCTCTCCTTGTCTTCTACCCCCTAATTCTTGGGTTTGAACTAAGGGCCTCATACTGGACCACTGAACTATACTAACCCTTTTTTTTTGAAATTGGATCTTCTTTTTTGCCTAGATTCACTCCTGGACTGAGATCTTGCTATTTGTGCTTTCCATTGTAGCTAGAATAACCGGTGTGCATCACGTCACTTAGCTATTGGTTGAGATGGGGTCTTGTCTGTATGCTCAAACTGGCCTTGAGCTGCAGTTCTCATCCTCTTAGCCTTTCAAGTAACTAGCATTACAGGTGTGAGTCACCAGTATCTAGCATCATTGTAGTTTCTATCCCCAGTATACTTCTACCCTATTTTAAGGGCTATCTTTAGAATACAAATTATTCTAGGCAAACATGCTTAAAGATTTTTTTGAGCATTAAACAAGTAGATCAGGCTTGTTACTCATTGTTTCCAATGTAATTTCTAGGACAGCATATGGTGGTTAACCTTGTTCCAGACCATAAGTGAGTTAAAAATGTTTCCATTGCAAGTGGTTGCTTTGGCAAGAGTAATTCATGTCACTGTAATGAACATTGATTTTTTTTACTAAAAAAATGAAATGTATAGTTTTCATATTGTAAACATTTAGAGGGAACTAGCTTTTCTTCTTCTTCTTCTTCTTCTTCTTCTTCTTCTTCTTCTTCTTCTTCTTCTTCTTCTTCTTCTTCCTCCTCTTCTTGCACTTCTTGCACTTCTTGCACTTCTTGCATTTTGTTGATTTTTTTGGGGGGGTCCGGTCGTGGGGCCTGAACTCTGGGCCTGGGCGCTGTCCCTCAGCTCTTCAGTCAAGGCTAGCGCTCTACCACTTGAGCCACAGCACCACTTCTGGCTTTTTTCTTTTTGCTTATGTGGTGCTGAGGAATCGAACCCAGGGCCTTTTTTGCTTATGTGGTGCTGAGGAATCGAACCCAGGGCCTCAGGCATGCAAGGCAAGCGCTCTACCACTGAGCCAACTTCCCAGCCCTTGTTGAATTTCTTATAGAGCATAAATACCTGTTTTTAGTGACAGATATCACGGAGAGTTGGAGAACCTTTGTATAATGTGAGTTTTAGTTGCTCAAGCACTGGTAGCACAAAATATCAAATCCTAAATTCTCTTCCTCATATATAGAGTTTTGCATAATGGTGACCATAGTAAGGAACAGTAATATAGATCTAGAGAGGAGGGTTACAATGTTGGCAGTGTGTTTCAAAGTTCACCATGAAGCTTTTCAGTTTTTTTGGATTCTGTCTAGTTCTTTGCTTAAAGAAGTTCTCAGTAACGTGTGTGTGCGTGCGTGCGTGCGTGTGTGTGTGTGTGTGTGTGTGTGTGTGTGTGTGTGTGTGTGTGTGTGGTTATGGGGCCTGAATTCTGGGCCTGGGTGCTGCCCCTCAGCTCTTCAGCTCAAGGCTAGCACTCTACCACTTGAGTCATAACACCACTTCCAGCTTTTTCTGCTTATGTGGTGCCGAGGAATTGAACGCAGGGCCTCATGCATGCAAGGCAAGCACTCTACCACTGAGCCACCTTCCCAGCCCCTGGAGATAATAATTTTAAAACAGGAAAAAAGGACAGAGAAAAAGATAACCAACAATTAAAAAAAGAGAGAAAAAATTAACATTATTATCTCCAAATAGTTGTATTAGGGGTTTCAATTTAACAAGTCCACTTATTTATATACATACTTGCATCTTGATCAGTCACCCTTTCTATCATTCTATGGAACGTATCACCTCTCTATCCATCTCTCCCAAGTTTCCTACCTCCATTTTCATATATTTACATTGGGTATTGTAACTTTTCTCTTTGTTCTTAAATAAACATTGGAAAGAAGAGAATATTTAAGATTCGTGGACACTCTGGATATTAGTTCATAAGAATTGAAGAATTTGTAGAAGGTTGGAAAACTTAAAAATTGCCAGGTTCTGGTGCTCATGCTTGTAATTGTAGCTACTGAAGAGGCTGAGATCAGAGGATCAAAGTTCAAAGTCAGCCTCGGTATGAATGAGGAAAGTGAATGAAACAAAAACAGATACCAATTTATTTGAAAAGGCTTAAATAGTATTGGTGAAAGTGTGAAGAAACAGGAACATTTCCTTTTTATGAAAATAAAAATTAGTGTAACTATCTTGGGGAGAAATTTGATTGCTTTTACTCTATTTTTATATTGTCTGATAGAGAGAGAGAGAGAGAGAGATAGTGTTGGTGTTGGTTCTGAAGCTTGAATTCAGGGCTTCAAGCCCTCCTGGCTCATACTCTACTAGTTGAATCATCCCTTGACTAAGTCTGAGAGACTTATTTCCAATTAACCAGAATAAGGCAGAAGTGGAGGTATGGCATAAGTGGTATGGAGTGCCAGCATTGAACACAAAAGCCAAGAAACAGTACAAGTCCTTAAGTTCAAGCCCCAGTAGCTGCCTCTGCCCCTCGCCCCAATTAAGTTGATCAAATTGACTCGGAATTTGAAGTATAGTTAAGGGATTATTAGATACACATTTTCCCTTAAAAAGAAATGGGGAATTAAAAATTGTATTTTAACAGGCAGAGCCATCTTTTTTTGGCGGGGGGTCCGGTCATGGGGCCTGAACTCTGGGCCTGGGCGCTGTCCCTCAGCCACAGCACCACTTCCCAGCCCAGAGCCATCATTTTGATAAGTTAATGCATAAGTGCAATTTTGCCTTGACTTTTCCCCCAATTACATTTAAGGAAAGTTCTTACTTTTATATTTCAGGTAACATTTTATCAATATGTTTATTATTATTGTTATTGTTATTATTGGCTTTAGTTCTGGGGCTTGAACTCAGGGTCTGAACACTCTCTCTGAGCCTTTTTGTTTAAGACAGGCATTCTACCATTTGAGCCACAACTCCACTTCTGCTATTTGTGGGAAGGTTAGAATTGGAGATGAGTCTCATGGACTTTCTGCCTGAGCTGGCTCAAAACCACAGTCCTTAGATCTCTGCCTACTGGATAGACAGGATTATAGGACTGAGCCCAGCTTCTAAATATATTTTTATTCAAATGTAAGTTTGAGTAATATCAAAATATTACTCAATAAATAAACTGACATATTTTTAAAGTATTATAAATCTTAAAATATGACTATAACTTTGAGTCTTTTTTAGTTTGCTAAATTATTTTACAAATCTGATTAAATTAGTGTGGAGTATTTTCTTAACTTGCTAAGATCATACTGGACTCAATATAGTAACATTTTTCTACCAGTCTATTTTCTATTTGTATTGTCATTCTATTTTTGAGATCAGTTGGCTAGAATAACTGGTAGCTAAACCCTCTGCAAAATAAGGAATATTTGATAAATGTATACAATATATAAATATATAAGTATAAATAAATATATTAATTATTACTAAGCCTTACATATAAATGTACTTAAGAAGAAAATTCATATCAACTAATTTTAAACCTTATATCAATTAATTTTAAAATAGGCTATGTATTGCCATTTGCCAGTGGTTTACCCCTGTGATTCTAGCTACTCTGGAGGCTGAGATGTGAGAATCTTGGGCCAAAGCTATTCCAGGCAAGAAGAGTCCATGAGACTCTTATCTCCAATTAATCACAAAAAGCTAGAAGTGGGGCTGTGACTCCAATGGTAGAACACCAACTATGAGCAAAAGAGCAAAGGGGCAGCACCTAAGCCAGAAGTTCAAGCCTCATTGCTAGTGTATATGCGTGTGCGTGCACACGCGCGCGCGCACACACACACACACACACACAAAAGGCCATGTGTTTAAGAGGGTATTGCAAAAAATAACAAGGCAAGAATAATTCTTGTTAAGCCATCTTTCAGCTACTAATTGTTCCTATTAAGTTAAATAAGATAAAAGAACAAATAAAGGAAAATTTCCAATCTTTAATACATCTTAAACTTGACTGAAGTGAAAAGAAGTTTATTGACATTTAGACTACTGTTTTAAAGCTTTTACGTCATTAAGTCTATTAAAAAATAGCTGTTTAGCTCAGAAGGTCTGGTACTTGCTGCATAGCCCCAAAAAGGACTCAAATTTTCATCCTTCTGCATCAGTCTCTTAAATTCTAGAATTACAGGTATGCACTATCATGCCTGGCTTTATATCCATAAGTATTTTAGTCTTAGATATACTTTTTGACATCTTCAGTATATTGATTTGGTCTTATTTTTCCTACTTTATTTATGATGAGTCATTTTTATCTATGTAATAAAACTGAAGGAATTAGGTAAACAAATTTGTTTACCTAATATATATTATATAATGATATATATTATATAATACCTATATATTATATAATGAACTGGGTTTGTTTACATATAATTTAAGAAGACCTGTTTATTTATGTCACTTACAGGTTTATTTATTTTTTTAAAGATCTTATAAAATATTATTGTAGCAAAACATTTATCCCTATGGATTATTTGATATAATTTAGAGGAACAATGTCAGTCATTCATTTAGACATGGCTCTAAATCAGGGCTTCTAAGCTGAAATTCTTTGAGAGAATTTTGGAATTGATAACATTCATTCCTTACGTTTGAAGTGGATTAGAGTATAATTTATCTGTATAAGAATGACACATACCATTCATTACCTCAAATGGATCATTGTTGTACATGTAGGATCTAGAAGGACACATCCAGCTGGACTGCTTTTGACTGTGGATGATTTTGTTCTTTGTCTCTTGTGTGTGTATTTCCTGTAATATACATGTTAAGTTTTTTAAAAAGAAATAAGTTTATTTTAAAACTCTGTTAAAAAGACTCATTGTTTTATTAGGGGAAATCCTCAAATAGTTTAATAATGCAGACTATATGAAATAAAATCAAATGATAGCCATAGTAGTTTTAAGATATAGCTAATGCTTGATAAAAAGCATTAGCTTCAGTATCTATTTATTTTCATTTCAATTTTATGCAGATGGAGGAAGCGAGGAACCATCGGATCGAAGACAGTCAAGTGTAGATTCTCGCCAAAGCCGCTCTGGGCAAGGTATGTTTTTTCACAATTTCAGAGATTTCTTCCTAGTACTTAATTTAAGGAGTGGATTTTTTTGGGGGGGTGCGGGGGGGCAGGTCTACTTTGTGTATTCTAGTTCCTCATTTAGTACAATTAATGCAGTCTAAATTCTGTAACATCACTTATTCAGGTATTAAAAGTTTTTCATGTCATTGAAATAGTATTACTATCATTATAATGATACTAAAGTTTTGGAGCATAATGATATATGTAACTAAAAGTATATTTCATACACCGGCTTTTTTTTGTCCTTGTTGGTACTGGGATTTGATCTCAGGACTTCAGAAATGCTAGCTAGGTGCTCTACTACTACTTATTCATAACTCTAGTCCTTTTTGATCTTTTTTAAAAAATTTTTTTGCCCATCCTGGGGACTCTTTGTGCTTAAGGCTAGCATTTTTCTGCTGGAGCCCCAGCACCACTTCTGACTTTTTCTGAGTGGATTATGGGAGATTAGAGTCTCACATACTTTTATCCTAGGGCTGGCTTCAAACTGTGGTCCTCAGATCCCAGCCTCCTAAATTGCTAGGATTTGCAGGTATGAGCCACCCTCCCCTGGCTGCTGGTTATTTATTTATTTTTGCCATGGGGCTTGAACTCTGGGCCTGGGTGTTGTCCCTCAGGTCTTAAGCTCAAGGCAAGCACTCTACCACTTGAGCCACTTCTGGTTTTCTGGTGGTTTATTGGAGATAAGACTCCCACAGATTTTCCTGCCCTGGCTGGCTTTGAATGGTGATCCTCAGGTCACAGCCTCCTGAGTAGCTAGGATTACAGATGTGAGCCACCTGCACCCAGCTGCTCTGGTTATTTTATTTTTTTTGGGGGGGGGG